ATTTGGTGAATGTGAGAGTGTGAGTGAGGGAAAGATGTGAGGGGGAGGGGGTGAGAAGTAACGTAATGGGGTGTCGTCCACTTGCAATTATTCAGTAGGTTTCTGACATCTATAACACAACATTATTAAAGTAGCATATTTTACAAGACTTTTACAAGTCTTCTGTGTGCAAATGATAGATACGTGCATATTGAATTAAGAGCAGAGTTGTTCAAACTCTACATTTGAATGCAAGTGAATTTTACATCTGTTGGGTTGTGTTTTGAAGCGCCATTTTTGTCATCCAATTGGCAGGTGAGTGTTTTTTCATTTATAGGCATGACTAAATACGTATGCCCATTCTTTTATAGGCATGACTTAATTGATGTAGCTTTCTATGATTCTATAGGGTCTTTTTTTTACATAAGAATGAGTGAGATATGATTGTGTATTGGTTTGAGATAAGATATTTGAGAACATGAATGAACAGTCATACTTGTTTATATGTTTCTGTTTCCTTTATTTGGATGTATAATTAGTTACCGGTTTTCAGTTTTCTTGGACCTTTTCTATTCTTTATTTTATTTTTGGCATATATTTTTCGAATTAAGCTTTTACAAAGTATAGTTTGAACGAAACATGATGAAATCACAAGCAGACACAAGACTTAGTAGCACAAGAATCCATTAACAATTATATTATTGTTATAAATTAGCAAGATTTTGKATCCAATGTGATTTGATAATTATTCTATAACATATCTGATCGAACCAAAATCTAAACTGTTAGATATAGCTTTCTCCTAATTTGATTTCACTTTTACAGATATTGTGTAATTCATGGAGGTTGTAGTTGACTTAAAGATTCCACTTGACTTAAAGATTCCACTTGAGAAGATACTAAAAGCCACAAACAACTTTGACCCAAGAAATTTCATTGCCAAGGGTGGATTTGGGAGTGTGTATAAAGGTGTTCTCTCATGGTCTGATAGAATCATCACCGTGGCGGTGAAGAGATTAGATCCTWATTCTGATCAAGGAAATCAAGAATTCTTGATGGAAATCACAATGCTTTCWAGTTATAAACACAAAAATCTCGCCTCTCTTGTTGGTTTCTGCGACGAGGGTGCAGAAAAAGTAGTTGTTTATGTGCATGAGAGTAAAGGGAGCCTTGACCGCTRTATAAGAGATCCAAGCCTCACCTGGATGCAGCGTCTTGAAATTAGCATCGGCGCTGCCAAGGGATTAGATTATCTTCACGATGGTGTAGGACCACAACATAGAKTCCTACACCGGGACATAAAGAGTGCAAACATTTTGTTGAATGACGATTGGGAAGCAAAAGTATCGGATTTTGGATTATCTAAGATAGGTCCCTCAAATTTACGGAATACTTTTCTAGTTACCAATGCTTGTGGTACTTTCGGCTATCTTGATCCAGTATATTATAAGAGCGGAGTTCTAACAAAGAAATCAGACGTATATTCATTCGGAGTGTTATTATTTGAAATCTTGTGTGGGCGACTGGCATGCAGCGAAGAATATGAAGATGGAAAAAGGTTTCTAGGTCCATTGGCTAAAAGAAAGTATGAAGAGGACAAATTGGATGAGATCATTGATCCCAATTTGAGGAAGCAAATGAAGTTGAATTCACTTATCACATTCTCCACGATTGCATATCATTGCTTGAAAAGCAATCGAAGTGAACGCCCAACAATGGCTCAGGTTGTTGAAAAACTTGAGAATGCATTTTCACTTCAAGTAAGCTTTCATTAATGATAGTTCATGTTTCACAGTGTGCAGTAGCATTTCCAATAACTTCTTACTTCTATATTTCACTTTGTACGATTATTTATTTTATTCGTTCTTTACGTTCTTTGCAAGGCTTCTCTCAAAATCGCCGAAATTGCTCGGGTTGGAGTATGGGGAACTAAATCTAGTGGAGGTCCCCAAAATCGTTGGGCTTTCCTACTTGAAAAAGATCATAAACTGAAATTTATAACAATCGATCATGGTGATCTAATATACTCTCTCATGTTCACTAGTGAATCAAAGGGTGTTTTGTACCCTTCTAAGAAGGCTGGTGGGTGGAATGGTGGAGACACAGTTTCTAAGGTAAACTCGCTCTTAACAAACTGATCACACACGTCATTTCTTTATTTTCTTAGATTTGTTATAGTTAAAAGCATTGTTTATTTATTTTTTATTTTTTTGACAATGCACTGCTATTGCATGAAAGGTTATGTTTGAAGACGACGAGGAAATAATTGGGATTAATGGAACAGTTGGGGTAACGGGTAGTTACACAATAATTTCATCACTATCCTTCATTACGAACAAGATGACCCATGGACCTTTTGGTCGTGCAACAGACACTCCTTTCTGGGTACCATGGGGTAAAGGAAATTTTGGTGGATTTTATGGCTTTGCTGGATACTATATTGATGCCATTGGTGTCTATATGAAAGCTTCTTCTGAAGAATTCGAAATTGCACGAACCGGAATTTGGGGAACCGAATCTCTTGGAGGTCCCCAAAACCAATGGTCTTTCCAACTTGAGAAAAATCATCATTTGAAGAAGATAACCATTGATCATGGTGATCTAATATACTCTCTCATGTTCACCACTGAATATAGGGGAATAGAGCATCCTTCGGACAAGGCTGGTGGTTGGAATGGGGGAGACAAAGTATCTGAGGTTACATTTGTTATATTTTTCTCGTTTTCTAAATCCGTTGATTTCCTAATTTTGGCTTTAACTTTTCCTTTGAATTTTTTATTTTTCCATTGCGGCTCAGGTTACATTTGCTTGGGATGAGGAAATCAGTGCTATCAGCGGAACGGTTGGAGTCTCAGGGGGTTATACGATAATATCATCCCTATCGTTCATCACAAACAAACAAACCCATGGACCTTATGGTCGTGCATCAGGAACACCTTTTACAGTACCATGGGACAAAGGGACATTTGTTGGATTCTATGGCCTTGCTGGCTATTATATTGATGGCATCGGAGTGTATTTGAAAGCAACTATATGACCAGCCATCTTATGCTAAGCGCCTAAGYGCAACGTAGAAARAACCTTTTCTTGCTATGAATTTTTAGAATCCTTAGACATTACCTTTGTTGTGCACGTAAAGATTGTTGCATAAAGAACAAAATGGAGAATGAACTTCTTTACTTTGACTTCATTTCTCTTCCATTTCAATGCAATARGTAAGCTATTTATATGTAAATGGTTTTCTCGTACATTTACCCTCTTATTAAAACACAAGACCCTTCACTTTTCACATTCTACAATTCTTCACTTTTCTAGTTGGTTACATGATTATGAACCYAGACAATAAAACAAGCTAAAAGTTAACATATGCATAAATGCATAGTAACTTATGCAAGTTTGTTTATTTCTTATGTGCACAATGCTACCCAAAAGTAAACGTGTTCCTTACTTCCAACCTTTCAACATTTTTTCTTGAAAACTTGTCCACTTTGGGACATGGTGAAAATACTTGCCACTTGATCTTTCGTCTTGAATACTCAACACGTATATCTCCTTCATTCACCAAGTTCCCTCAAGAAATAGTACCAAGCGCGGATGTGCTTCCTCCTTTTATAAAGAAGCGGATTGAAATAGTTGAGCTATTGTCACAAAGCAAAGTGGTTGACTTGTTTTACTTTTTATTAAGATTTTCCAAAATTCCACGAAACCAAATCAACTGACATTGTGCATAAGTTGCAGTGATATATTAAGCTTCTATAGTAGAAAGTGCCACAATTTGTTGTTTCTTTGAACTCCATTATATTGTGCCACTTTACATACCTAGAAGTGCTTCTATTATCATTAATAGTTCCTGCTAGGTCAATATCGATATAATCAAAATTAAGAATGATTTCTTTAACATATCTCAATTATCTTGGCAACGTCCCAATGATTTGAATAAGGCTTCACCATGAATCTACTCACCAAACTAACAACACAAACGATGTATGGTCTGGTAGAAGTTAGATACATCAAGTCTCCGACAAGACTCTTGAACATGGTAGGATTGACAAGTTTAATTCCACCTTCTTAGATAGCTTCAAACATGTGATGCATGGAGTAGAGAACGGATTAGCATTCTCCATCTTGAACTTCTTGTACATAACTCTCTGGAAAATAAAAATTCCTTTTCTGGATTAATGAACTTCAATGCAAAGAAAAATATGAAGTTCTCTCAAATATGACATAAAAAATTCTCATTTTATTGAATGATTGAATGGATACAACATCTTCACATCGTTTGTATTGAAAACAAGACCATCAACACAGAGACCAACAATCACAAATCTTCCTTTAAAATCGCCATCGATGTAGAGAGTATGCTCATGTGTTCATTTTTGAAACCCATATTTCTCAAGGTAAGAATCAATGTGACTATATCAAGCTCGGGATGRTATCTTCAACCGATATAAGACTTTCTTCAACTTGTATACTTTATTCTCTTCTCCTTTCATGATAGGTGATGTGTTTTACATTTATACCGCAAGTATACAAGTGTTATAGGTCAATCACATTGAGTGATAGTCTAAGTGTCAATTCAGCTATAAATCATAACCAACTATGTGAATAACAAATTAGGGAGGTGTTTAATAAACTACGAACGATATAAAAGAAGCAAGTAAATAGATGAAAATTAAACTACAACATAAAAATTAATTACTATCTACAATACAAAAACAAGGTGGACGTATCGGTGTGGAACGGGTTCATTTTGGCTATCATGAGGGTTTATCTTTCTAAAAAACATTTTAAACCCTCTCCCAGGTCAATAATACCTTTCTAACTAAGTCGGTCAACCACTTCTGCAACGAACTACTAATTAAACTAGAAGCATTAGGATTTTTATAAACGTTTCCCATAATTCTTATTTTTACCTATGTCCATGGTAAACTTGGCTAATCAATCAATAATCAAATCAACTTTCGTTTTATAAATTAAATTGTTTGATAAAAGATTATCGAACAACCAGTCTCTGATTATAATCCAACTTCTGTTGACTATAGATCATAAATCTACACGCGATAATCATAGGTTTAAACCCAATTTAGCCAAATCCATAATAAAACTCATACAACACCACCGCACAACCTTATACAACCTAAACTAAAAACAACCATTTACAAATATTTATCTAAACAAAACAACTAAATGAAACATCACTACTAAACTAATAAAATGTGAACAAAAATATAAAACAACAACAATAACATGAAATACTCATTCATATAACCAACATCAACAAAAATCATAAATCTCATTTTCATATGATCATGAAATGTAGATCTATATAAATAAGATAGGCATTCATAAACTAAGAAGATGACAAGAAGATAGTGATTTAACTAACAAGACAAAATGAATAAGGGGACAAATATTGATATTCAAATGATTGAACAAATGCAAGATCTTGCATTAACCAAAAGCTTCATCTCCAACTTGATCATAAGATACCATCCAAAGTATGAAAAGATTAAAAACTAGAAATGTTTAAAGAATCAACTAAGTTCTAGAGAGAAGTAGGAGAAAACTAAAATAAAGAGAGAGTTCAAATAAAGAGAGAGCCTAACTAGAATCTAAATTTAATTATGTTTCTAGATGATTGAGTGTGTGTGATGGCAAAACATGGGGAAGATGTAACATCTCCCTTTACGTGAAAATCCTTCCAAAAAGGGTGGGAAATGGGTTTATAATCTAAAAGCATTATAGTACAAAAGAAGGTGAAAAGGAGGCCAAAAAGTCAACTCTCAACTTTGTTCTTCTACATTTTATCAAATGTTTCTCTCTTCTTTTGACTTCTTCTGCTCACTTAATAAAGGATGTAATGTATTTCACGCTAAATTTATACGATTCAACCAAACTAGATTGCAAAATGACGAATTGAACACTAAAAATATGTGAAATACAACGACCCAACAAAATCCAGTGGTTGATCAACATAGACTTCTTTTAAAATGTCATTCAAAACGCAAATTATTTATCCATTTGAAATAACTTCCAATTGTATTGATAAAATAAGTTATCGAACCGTCTCAAGTCTTGAAGCAGGAGCAATGTAAAATCTTCTCCTTCCTTTTGCTTTTATCCCTTTGCAACAAGCCTTTGTCTTGTGCTTGTTGATAGAACCATTTGTGTTCATCTTATTTTTTCTTGTACACCCAATTTTACTTCCATGGAGTTTTTTTGGTGGCAGCAAAATCGATAAATTCCCATGTACCATTATTTTCAATTGAGACAAAATCTCATGTTCAACTTCATCAATAACATCATATAACTCCTGGAGATTTCTTGTTTTTCTTATTGGAATACTTGAAGAATAACATAATGAAGAGCTTGAGGACGAACTTGGGGAAGTAGGAGGATTTCCAACTTGAGCATCATTCTAAACATTTTCAAACACTTCCCCATCTTTTTCTTCAAGTTGGAAAGGAAAGATTGACAAATTTTCTTTCTCCTCTTTCATTTTCTCAAACAAAGACCTTTCATCGAACCAAATATCTTGGCTTATCACGGTCTTCTTAGTCATCGGATTACATAATTTGTATGCCTTGCTTCCTACAGTACACCAAATGAAATACATTTCTCTGACTTGCCATTCAACTTGCTTCTCATTGCATTAGGAATATGAGAGTAAGCAACACTCTCAAATACTTTTATATGATGAACATTTGGCCTTGTACCATATGATGATTTGCAGGTCTACAATTCTCCGAGCTCCTTGTCTATGACATATTTAGAAGAAGACATTTAGCCATCTCTGTCATTGTTATATTATTTTTTTCACACACTATTTCTTCGTGGTGTATGATGAACTGTCATTTCATGTCGAATTACATTGTCTTTGCAATATTCTAGTTATTTGTAAAATATTCACCACCATGGTTCATCCTAAGTTTTGATAATTAGCCTTGTAAAGTTCTCCACTTCTACCTTGAAATCTTTGAATCTCTGGAAAGCTTCTGATTTTTCTTTCACACAATACACCTAAACTTTTCATAACTAATCATTGATGAGAGCAATAAAATAATAGTTTCCTCCCAAACATGACAACGTCATTAGACCACAAAGATCTAAGTGGATAAGTGGCAATGACCCTTTGCTTTACATAAGTATTGAGAAGGAAAAAAAATTGTTGCTTTCTAAACTAACAAGCTTCACAAGCATCAACAAGATGATCAATTCATGCAAACCTATCACCATCATTTTCTTTGAAATCGTCTCTAAATGTCCATATTTCAAATGATCATATCTATCATGATAAGTTGGAAACTCCTTTATCAACACCAAGAAAACAGGACATGTTTTGACCTCAAAGAGTGAGTGAGAAAAGATTATTAGAAGCAACTTCAACTCTAGCAATAACTTGATTTTTCCTTGACAAGTAAAAAAGCCATGTCACATAAATGAATGTTATTGTTAGTCTAAAAATGTTGTATTCAAGTCCTCGAGCTTAAAGTGTTTTATTATGCTTTGTAAAGTAGTTTGTTTCTTGTAATTGGTAGGTATAAATAGGTTGTAGTTGTTGTTTGTTAGAAGTTAACAATTGAGAATCTTTAGCATATCCTGCATACGTGAGACATTGAGAGAGAGGGAGTTCAAGAACTTGTACTTTGAACATCATCAATATACATGCCGACATATTCAATCCAATCTAAGTTCTTGATCTTGTGTTAAATTGTAATATAGACTTGAATCTGGAATCTACAATTGGTATCAGAGCAAACAGAATCGATCTTGATTGGTTTTGCATCTGAATTGAAGTTGAAATCTTGAAATTTTTCTTTGAACTTACTGTTTTGAGTTCATGATCTGTTTTGATCAATTTCTTCAAATTGGGCCATTTTGATTCATATTTGGTCTAATTTGTGTCTTTAAAACTGTTTTTGTATTTATTTCGGACAAGTCTGTGCAAGTAATTTCAATCAATTTTGGATTTTTGACCAATTTTCGTGATTTTCGTGAAGTTACTGGTTGAACACTTACTCATCGCCCATTGAATATTCAACGAGTGATATTCATACTTTTATCGCCCGTTAAATCTGCATTTGAATCTTCATCGCTCAAAGTGTTGAACGATATATTGTGGTCATCGCACAAATTTTGTAAGGATTCTGGATTCATCGCTCAAAGGTTGGACGATATATGTGTT